GATGGTTTCATTTAATTTATTTAAACCAGGTTACCAATAATAATATTTTTTCGTTAATTTATGAAAATATCAAATTAGCCCGTAATCCTGAATCCTGATATAAAGTTAGCCTATTAATTTAACACAGGTACGACTGTACTCAGTGTTGCACTATCAAATGCAATTGACGCGCCTCTATGCCAGGGTTTTTATGTTCCTGGTCAGGCTATACCCAAATTCAATTCATTTTTAAGTTTGAATATTTAATTTTTATGGCTCTTACTCCAATTTGTACTTCTTACTTACTAATGAGGCGTGGAGAGGACATACGATTTACGATAGGCATAATATTTGGTCAAAAGGAATTTTAGGTAATCGTCCCTTTTATTGAGTTAATCAATGCTCCAAAGTCTGGATATTTTTAAAACGATCTTCTTTTGAGGCAAACAAAATTCAACGTGAGAATACAATATGTAACGGAAACACCGTCCGATCCATTAAGGTGTTAATAGGTATCGAGTTGAGATTCCATTAGTGTAATAATTTTCATAAAATATTATAAAAAAAATACCCCATGAAAAATAAATACAAAATTTACAAAAATAAAAAAGCTTACATGGCAATCCGAACGGCAGTGTAGAGGGTACGCGGGAGGGGTAGAGATGCGCCGGCACGCGTAGCGACGTCATAAGGTCATGACCCCCAGCGTCTTAAAAAAAGCCGCGCGGCAACAGAGTGTTAACGCTTTTTGAAAATTTCCACGTTTTAGGGTAAATCATTGCTAATCTTATTGACTTTAAAAATCGATAAAAAAATTGTTTTTATTAATTACGTAATTTTGATACTTGTTTTGGTAATGTTGTTAAAGCTACTTTATGACCCTTTCGGATCGGACGGTGTTTTTGTTACATATTGTATAGAACGCTCAAAAAAGATGAGGCGAACACGTTCTCACACTGGTGAGACTGGTGTAATATGTATTTGATTACAGAACACTAATTAAATATCTCATATGTTTATCACGTCTAGTTTTTGATATATCCACATTAAATAAGTAAGTTATTTTATCAAGTTACACGTCATTAATTTTAAATGTCGAATACATTATCTGCTTTGCTTTAGTTGAATTTTATCCCAGTCTTCAGTGCCTGTTTTGTCTTACACAATAAACAAAAACATTTCAACATTCAACATTTTTGTAGGCAATTTTATTGAATTTTGACATGCTTTTCAAGATCCGCCTGTCTGCAAACGAGATATACCTAAACTCTGATTTTTAATTCGACGGAATTTTGACATTTCCGAAGTGTTGCCAACATTGAAACATTCCCACTAAGGATGGAGAGCATTTTCACAAATTAAAAAATAATCCTTTCTTGAATTTAGGGTTTCACTTAAAAAACTAAGGCTTAAAAATGTACTGATCATTTCAAAATGGTTATTTGAATTTTTATTATCATATTTTAGAAGTTACAAAAAAAATTGGGAAATTATTTTTCTATTACTGTACTCCCTGGCCAATAATCCATGGGTTACAAACCTTTTTTCTGAAAATCCTTTTGTTAATAAAATCTTAGCTTCATAAAATAATCAATTTAACAAGATGCCAATTTTATAATCCAAGTTGATTATGCTGACGATAATGATGATTGATGATCAATACATATTTTCGTTTATGTTAATATGTTGTCTTACTGTGTTAAAAACACGTTTTTTTCTATTTAATCTCTAAAATGTACATAATAATTAGTGTACATTGAATTCACGAAACAAACAATAGTTCATTCTTGTAATTTGTAGTTGATGAAATTTCATTTCATATAATTTATTAATAATTTAAAGCAAAAAAGGCTTATTACATCTGAATTGTCAAAAAATGACAGCTGTCGGAATTCCGTCGAATTAAAAATCGGACTATAAGACCCAATATACTGAACTGTCCTATCCGTGACATTGACAGCGGGGCGCACCCGTCAATTCCGGATCGATGGTTCCAATTTTTGCCATGTTGGAAATTTTATACTTAGTTGAACGATGGTGGCGTCCCCCTATCAATGAGTTTGATGGGACAGTCATAAATACATTTTAAGAATATAGCCTGACCAGAGCCCCGATTACGGTAACTTTTAACGTCTACAATCCAGACGCGTTTCTGATTCTGCAATACGATTGGTCAAAACAGCTGACGTGCGCTGTTGAACGACCAATCGTATCGCAGAATCGAGAAGCGTGTCTGGATTGTTGACGTTAAAAATTACCGTAATCGGGGCTCAGGAACATAAAAACCCTGGCATAGAGGCGCGTCAATTACATTTGATAGTGCAACCTCAGTGTTGCACTATCAAATGTAATTGACGCACCCGTGTTAAATTAATAGGCTCACTTTATGTATCAGGATTCAGGATTACGGGCTAATTTGATATTTTCATAAATTAACGAAAAAATAATTATTATTATAGGTAACCTGCTTTAAGTAAATTAATGAAACCATCAATCGAGCTAGTAGGATTTATTTTATTATTCATCAATAATCAAATTCAGAACTTGAATATTCAACTGCAATGTTTGCTCATGAACGCTTTAAACTACCGATATAATAATAATATATACCGATAGAAAAGTATAAAAATATATTTTTCTATTTAATCTCCCTCTACTACAACGGACTTCTTACATTTGTGTAAAAGAGCTTTTAACCCACTGAAAAAAATTCGCAATCTTTGCCTTCGAAATGAGCCTTTAACGCCGCCTTCGTTTCTTTGTCACTCAAAAATCTTCGTTCCTAGAGGTCTTTTTTCCAATTTGAGAATTAGACAAATTAGCTAGGGATTTGGACTAAACTGTGTGGTGGGTGATTTATTTCTTGAAATCCAGTTTTACCCGCAGCAAGCCATGCAAAATGCGCGGTATGCGCGGGCGAATTGTCTTGCAATAACAGATTTCCTTTTGCCAGTTTGCCTCTTAATATTTCAACAACCACTTGACGCACTCTTATCAACAGTACAGCATAATAATCCCCGTTTATTGTAGTTTTTTTTAAGTAGGTACTCAATAAATAAAATTCCTCCACAATCCCAAAAATAGTGGCTATGAGCTTGGGTGTCGATCGCTCCACTTTGAATTTCTGCGGCGGCGTTTTCCCTTTAGAATCCATTGCATTGACTCTAGATTGTACTGCCGGATCTAATATTTATCAATAGTGACAATGTGAGAAAAAAATTGTAAGGATTATGGCCAAAGATGTCCTAAAACTCCTGCGAAGTTGTGACTCGACGCTGGTTGTCGAGCGGCGTGAGCATTGTTGGCACCCATCGCGCGCATCCCTATTTCATGTGCAAATGAGTATGAAAAATATCGCCGATACGTTCCTTGCTAATGCCTATGGCTTCAGCTATCCGTCACAGCTTAATTCGCTGATCTCTAAAGCAAGATTCTTTAAATTTTCATTATTTTATTCGTTAATGGCGAAATCTGGCCGCCCTGACTTGCGGTCATCTTTTAGCGACTCCCTGCCATGCTTGAACTATCGGATCCAATCTTTCATGATGCCAAATGAAGGCCCGGACTCCCCATAAACTGTAGACATCTCTTCAAATGTTACCGACAGCGTTTTGTTCCTCTTTTTGAGGAATTTTTTGACAACTGTGTACTTCAATTTCGTACATTGCGCGGATGACTGAGACATGATGATGTTTACGGATTAATTACTAAAAGCGTGATGACGCTAATGAAATGAAACTTTGTACATATATTAAGGAGGTTATCGGCAAATTAATTAAATTTAGCGCGAGTCAATAATAACACTTGAAGATACTTAGGCTCAAAACTTTTCAGCCGCCCCTCGTAGTTGAAACAAAACACAGCTAATTTTCATAGTGGACTGTACTATGCGATAAACATGTCAGTCAATTTGACAACCTTTGTCGGAAACATTATTCAATGAAAATATTGTCCGAACCCTTAGTATTTCTCTTCGACAAATACTTTAACACATTGTGAACCACTTTTCTTTTACGACTATAAAAAGATTTTAGCAATTTAAATCACAAAATCAATTGCGTACATTTAAAATACAGTTTGTTTACACTTTGACAGCAATAGACTGACATACAAGGTGACATGTCAATGAAGTTTTCAGTTATAGTTCCAAAATACTGAACTGTCCTATCCATGACATTGACAGCGGGGCGCCACCGTCAATACCGGATCGCTGGTTCTGATTTTTGCCATGTTGGAAACCATATATTTGAACGATGGTAGCGCCCCCCTGTCATTGAGTTTGGCGGGACAGTTCAGCGTGGGTCATCTATACTGTTGCCATTAAAAGAAATTAGTACCATTAGTTTTCCGCAACATGGCGAGGATTTTTATGTTCCTGCCCCCCTAGTCAAAACGCACTTTTTGATCAAATCGAAAATCGAATCCGTCAAAACTCCATACAAAAAAGGGGCTTTTCGACCACTTTTCGACTGGTTTGCGATTATAATTTGCACTTTGTCTAGACCCACTGGTCGGGCTATACATTATTTTGTCAGCCCGCTGACTACGCAAGACGTCACAGCGCAAATTGTATTGATGGCCTCAATTATCGTTGTGCGACCTATAAAAGAGTTTTATTTTATTTTTTTCACTTTCAATAATCCTTTACATTAAAGACAAAGGGGTTATATTTTAATAATTTATGATTACTTTTTAAGAAAAAAAAAATACCATTCTTGAGAAGATTTTATTACTTCTCTACTGACAAGACAACTGGCTGATTTCAATGTGCGGGCTTGTGCGGGTGTGGCAGTAGCTTCACAGAAATTATTATTGTCACTTGATTCTGTTGAAAACAAGAAAGAATTCTATAAGTAAAATAATAATAAATTAAAGCTAACACTTTCAGTAAAATAAAATTTCACAGTATTTTTAACATTTATTTCAATGTCGATTTTACTGTTATCGATTAGTAATCGTTTCTCTATGGTATAAATAGTCTATGGTTTCAAACCAACAGCGCCTTTCCTTTCTCCTGATTGGCCGATAAAATTATTTCTCCTTGTTTTGCCAATATGGCGCCTTTTGTGTTATGAGATGACAACATCGCAGTTTGTGTCCTATTTGTCATTAGATCTTAAAAATCAACAATAATTATCTACCTCATAAGTTCAAAGAAAATCGGTAATTGTTATGGAAATAGTATTTACGTGGCAACGTGTGCTATAACTGTTGTTTACGCTTACGAATGCGTCTGTGGGAAAAGTACTTGGGGTCCCGTAAAAATGGCGGGTGTGTTATCTTTATGGGTTGTGTTTTCCTTCCAATCGGAGAAAGTTGATGATTCGTTCTAGGAGTGGTATTTTACTGACGAAGACTTGTTAAACATATTGATTACGGATTTTGGACACGGAATGTGTAACTTGGTATTTTGACATTAGAAGTGTTCGGTTTGGCAAGAGGGGTGCAATAAAGTCATCGTTTTTGATGAAATTATCAGTATGTCGCGCTGGGGCAGAGGCCGTGCCGGCAGCGTGGCCGTGCCGTTGGACAGTGCCCTCTTCAGAGAGAACAGTAACTGCCCCACAGCTGCTCGCTCGGCAGGAACAGTGGGCAAATGGGGAATCACCAGCTTCACTTCAATCAGAAGCGCACCTTATGGTAAGAAATCATCATTATCCTCATCATCCAGACGTTCTAATTAACGGAGTTTTCAAAACAGAGTTGATTTTCACTTGTATTTCGTGTCCAAATTAATTAACCTACATAAACAAAGTGGTGAAAGTAAACTTTTGACAGTCAAACAATCTATCATTCATGTATTTTGAAGTAAACATTCTTATCTAAATTTTATTGTTTTTAGTTATTCCTTTCCAACTTAGGTAAGTTTTTTTGTTTTTCATTTCAGCATTTGCTAATAATGTTGTCAAGAAACCAGTTCAAGATCAAAACAGTCCGCTGACAGTGCCAGCAGTTGAAACTGAACAGCCGCCACCAAAGCCTAAGAAATTCTTCAAGTCTCGAAATGCCGAGGCTTACCCACCAGTTCCACAGATCACCTACGCTCCTCCTGTACCTGCTGCCCCACTTTCACCTGAGCATCCTTCTAATAGCAAAGAAAAGAAAACCAATAAAAGAAGTAGAGTCTATAACAGAGACTCATCATCACCAGAACTTCCTAGGCGCAGTTTTGAAAAGTCCAAGTCGAAGAAAAATTCTGTGGCCACTAAGGCTTCCAGAAAGGAGGACCCATCATCAGATGCGCAACCTCCAAACAAACGATATTTGGTCCGCAATCGGGATAAAGTTATCAATTATGCTGAAGATGGCAGCAATAGTCCTATACCAGATTTTAGTAGATATGAACCTCTTCAACCAAAGCTAAACAGAGTTACTCAGAGCCAGTCCCCGAAAATTCCGTCGCCCATGGCTAGTCCAGTCTTGGCTAGCCCTACTCCCATAAAAACTGGAGTTGTCAGTCCATCTACAAGCAAAGACTCAAATGAAGAGAGAAAACCACCACCTATAGTTTTGAGGATATCTAAAGGTACATCAAGAATCGTTAGTACAGACTCCAATGAAGGCTTGACGTCTCCTGGTTCTGACAGACATTCCTCATTGGATACACATTCAGATTTTGGATCTGATCACAAGAAAAGCCCTTCAATGGAGACAATATGCTCTCCTAAGCATGAAGGTCTGAAAATTACTATTAAATGTGCTGGTCTCAACCAAGAAAGTAAGAAAGAAAAGAAAAAGGAAAAGAAAGAACACAAGTCACATAAAAAGCACCATAAGAATACTGATGATGAATCTAAGAAAATTACTTCTCCGTTACCAGGTTCAGATGCATATGATATTTATAAAACACTTGCTTCACCTGTACATAATCCACCATTATTACATAGACATTCAGGAGTTGATGACATTGAAAGTCAACTAGAAAAGTTGGATTCAACTGGTAACAATTCCAAGTCACCTAGATTAGAAATGCAACCGAAAGAACCTCCACCAGAACCTAAACCTCCTGAAGCGTCAGGTGGACGGTCAAGAAGGAACAGACCTAATATTAATTATAGTGAAAATGATGACTATCTAGATGTTTTAACTAGTGGTTATTCAAATAAAAATGCAGCAAAAGCAGTTGTTGAACCTAAAAAAGAACCTAGGAAAGGGAAGAGGAAGTTTGAAGCACCACCCATACCTGAGACTACCCCTGTTGTTGAGCCTGAGATTAGTCAAGGAATTGAAACTGAATCTGAAAATAAGTTGGAGAAGAACGACTTGCTTAACATATTATCTAGTGAAACAGAAGTCACTAAACCAGTTGATTCTCTCAAACTGAAAATACATAAAAAACACAAGCATAAACATAAGCATTCAAGTCCAGACTACAGTGTGGAGCTTCCGCAAGAAAACAATCTACCTCAAGAGGAGGTTGAAAATAATCAGGAAGCGATGCAAACAGAACAAGAACAAACTGAAGAGAATCAAATGCCGGAAGAGCATATGAACGTAAATGAAGACCCGGGTATTTCTCAAACTAATACACAATCGACAGATTCTGCATACAATAGCTGTCATAATGAAGAAGAGGATACTAATAAAATTCAGCAGGAAGAAGTGTTTAAGTCTCCACAAGGCATGGGTGACTCTGAGGAGCACAGTGAAGACAAGCCTAGCGTAAAGTTAGTGATCACAAAGAAGAAGGGTTCCATATTTAAGAGCAAGTCTTTGGTAAATGATAATCCATCGCCACTGCCTGCGAGGAAAAGACGTCATCTTTATAGACATGAATGGGCTAATGATGTGAGTATGAATCATTCATGGTGTTGAGTAAATAATTTAAAATGTATCTCAATGACATTTGGTTTCTACTTTTATTGATACTATTTTGAATTAAATGTTGTCCTAGTTATTATTCTGCCCAAGTTAAGAATGTTAATTTTCTTAAAAAGGTAATAAACTAACAATAACAGGAAGATTGAACAAAGTCATAGTTGCCTATTTATTGCAAAACAGATTCAATGTTATCTTCAAGAGAATAAAATGAATATAGTGCCATCTTTATTACTAACTTCGAGGTTACCAAGCTTTCCGTTGTTAGTTGCTATAAAATTTATAGATAGGGGTTAATGCATAAAAGGCATCTAATTACAATGATTGCTTGAAGTAACTAAAGTATTTTTTATATTCTTTCACAGAAGGGTAATGAGACTCCAAGACCAGAACAAGCAGAAAATCCAGAAGCTCGGACCACTGTTAGTCAAGTGCCAGAGGAGTTGACCCGAGTAACTAGATATAAGGCCCCTGATCCAATAGTTGATGATCTAGATGCAGGCGAGACAGTGAAACCTTACACAAGTGTCCGATGCGCAAAGGAGGCTAAAGAAGTAAGTTTATATCCTATTTTTTATTTATTGAAATGGTAAGACCATACTGATGCATTTATTTCTCAAATGGTGTGCTTTGAATTATGGAATTATGGTGACAACAAATGTTGACAGATTTTCGCATGGGTTTCATGTAATTTATATTAATACATTGTTGTTTATCTACTTTCAGTTCTACACAGTTGTCAGAAATGTTAAGAAGGCCCATCAAATTCAAGAAATTGGTGAATTCCAAGAGCTAAATGATGATGTGGAATACCTGTTAGACGCGTTACAGGTAATATAACTTTTTATTTGTATCTATTTGTCACCTTTCAACCTTGTTTTTCATCACAATGCATTGAATGCATTACTTATCGTTCTGACCAAGATCTAAAAATAGCTATGTTTACATAGTGACACAAGATTTTGGATTGTCTCACTCAATGCAAAACATTTTCACATTTAATAAGAAATATTCTCTTATTGCACAAACAGTAGAATGACTTGTGATTTGAGTCTGTGACTTCTAAAGTTGCCAACATAAGGGCTTCCAAAAATGAGACCTGTGTTGTTCTTGGTTTGCTATAGCTATAACAGAGTCAATTCTCACCATTACAACTAGGTTGCCTTATAAATACTATCTCATCTTTTCAAATAATTGTGTGTAAAAGGCAACATTATTTGTATGGAGTTTAGGGTCGGCTCATGAACCTAATCTTTTTAATCTAATATTTATGTGTATCACAGGACAATTGCGCCTTTTTAACTTATTTTTTGTGTATCACAGGACAACAATCCGATGTCGACGCGTTGCCTGTCCGCCATCACGCTAGCTAGCAAGTGCACGGCGCCCGCGTTCCGAATGCATCTGCGCGCTCACGGCATTGTGCAGAAGTTCTTCAGTGCACTGCATGATGCCACCAATGACCAGGTAAACTTATCTACTGTTACGTAAAGTGCACTTCATTCATTTGTTTCAGTCAAATTAATGACGTTCACTGCTGGAATTGGGTACTTGACGCGACCTTCATTAAATCGTTCGTCCACCTAGTAGGAGTAAAAAGTATACCTCAGAATATTTCTATGTTCAGAGTACAGAGGACTGTATTCATGTCGCCTGTTTTAAAGACATGCAGCATGAAACAGTTTAGGCGCGCTAAGTGACTGATCCCTACTAACTTCATAATGAAATTATCTTTAGAGATACTTAATCAGATTTAGGATTTGGCCTACACTCCCCACGCTGGCCAAATAGACTGAGGAGTCCTAATGTTCGCATATTTTACCCAAAGTCGTCTTCTACGACATCTACGGGAACAGTGGGGATGGTTCCATTCCAACCACATTGCCTTTTGATTGAAAGAGGATTTGAGATTGAAAGGGGTTCTTTTCTACACTGCCAGAACCACATGTTTTTTTTTTTACATAATAAACCATTTTGTCCACAGAGTCTCGGCTTGTGCACGGCGACGGTGATGTTTGTGTTGTCGCAGGATCGACTCAACATGGACTTAGACCGTGAATCGCTGGAACTCATGTTGAACTTACTCGAGTCTGACGTGTCGCACAAGTGAGTCAACTTTTGTTATTGCTGTAATAGAGGTTATTGATGTATGTCTTGGTGGCGATGTCAAGAGTAAGGTGACGTTTTATTCATCCTCGGGTGAATTGTCTCTTTCAAATTGTTAGGTGTCGAATCATCTGCAAAATATGACATAAAAAATTATTAAAATATGTGATTCTTGCCTTTTCCTTAACATTATTGGTATTTAATTTCCAAAGCCATGGTTTTACGGCGAAGTTTTATCCGAAGATAAATATTTTGCGGATGATTCGACACCTGATAATTTGAAAAGGAGACAATTAATTCATCCTCGGATGAAATGTAACCTAAGTCGATGTGAATCGCCTTGAGCACCGGTTCCCAGATTCCCCGGTCAATTAAGAAAATGTCGCCCGCATCTGAGTTTAGTGAGAGAGCTCTTGGTAAATAATCGTTTCGTTTATTATTGTTTAGTTGTTATGTTACAAAGACGACTATAAGAAATAATGAGCATCCTTTCCTTGTTTTTATGTATTTGCAGATCAAGATAAACAAAATTATTGTTTAGCCAAAAAATATCAGTTAAAAGCTCAGACATGCATTCAGGTTTTTATCTTATAAATAGGTCTATAGTTAAAAACTTGTTAGAATACAAATCACACACAACAATATCAGATTTCTATCTTGTGTGGTCAATATTTCCGTATGGAAATATTGTTCCTACAATACGGCAATGTTGTTTACGACTATAATAATATAGCTGTACCAAACCTGACCTACATGGATAGCATTATACAATCTATGCATTTTTTAGAGTTCGGGTACTTAATTTACCGATATTTAGACCTCCAGTTTATACTGCTCTAAATATTAAATTCCAAATAGAATATTTTTTAAGATATTATAAAATATTTTTCTAGGAACGCTTTGGACGACTGTGGGCTCACATCAGCGCAGCTGGCCAAAACGCAAGAGCGCGTGCGTGAGCTGTGCGCAGAGATCAAAAGCCAAGGGAAAGCGCAGCACTTGGATTTGGATAACATAACGGTATGTACATGTTCATCATCATCATCATCATTTCAGCCATAGGACGTCCACTGCTGAACATAGGCCTCCCCCAATGCTTTCCATGTTGATCGATTGGCAGCGGTCTGCGTCCAGCGCTTCCCTGCTACCTTTACGATGTCGTCGGTCCACCTTGTCGGTGGACGTCCCACGCTGCGTTTTCCGGTATGCGGCCTCCATTCCAGAACCTTTCTGCCCCATCGGCCGTCAGTTCTGCGTACTATGTGCCCTGCCCATTGCCACTTCAGCTTGCTAATCCGTCGGGCTATGTCAGCGACTTTGGTTCGTTTACGGATCTCCTCATTTCTGATTCGATCTCGCAAAGAAACACCAAGCATAGCCCTCTCCATAGCACGCTGTGCAACTTTGAGCTTCTGTATAAGGCCTATAGTGAGAGGCCACGTTTCCGAGCCATAAGTTATCACTGGTAACACACATTGCACATGTACATGTTGCGGGTTAGGTATTATCTGGTCCACCGAAAATCTGGTCCGCGGACCAGTTAATAAACTTTTTTAAATACTTCTAGTCTTCATCTCGTCTGAAGGTATATTTAAGCACGGGCCAGATAATACCTGAAAAAACACTAGGGTTTAACTCGCACAATCTATAGTGAGATAGGAAGTATTCTTAGTCAAAGGATTCATGTAAGTAAAATTTACAGTCAAAACTCATACTCGGTCAAAACCACTTTTGGCTCCAAAAATCAGTCAAAAGTGATCAGATTTGACCGACGCCCTTGGTCAATATCAATTTTGGCAGATTTTTCCAGTCAAATGTGGTTTTGACCAAGGGCGTTAGTCTACATAGTACAAACATGATGAGGGCTGCGTTCACTATGACTCGACTGTAGACCGCCGAAAACATCAATATAAATAAAAACGTTGATGATTATTACGCCGGTTGTTGTTATGAATCATTATTTATAAATATCATTCTGTTGTTTACTTCAAATCTTTTATTTAAAGAATTTTATGTACAGTATAAACCGTCTAGACCAGATTCTATTCCAAGTAAACATTGTGGTCCATACATCTTTTTTTATTTAGATTGAAATAAAACTCCGCTTGTTTAGTCAATACTTTATTAACGCCAACTTTTTTATATGAAGCATATTCAATGTTTAGAATTTTCTTCATTGATTGATAGTATGCATTATTTGAATTCAATATAATATTATGGAATTCAAGACAATTCAAATCAATTGTTTCACATAGCTTTATTAACATCAGTCTGGCCCAAACAAGGACATTGCCTTAACAAGTTCCATACATCTTCAATTGGTTGGATAGTGCATTTGATTGATTCGCCAATTTTTGACCTAGTTAGTTCTATAAATAGTTCTGGTTTGAACTAACTGAAAGTTATGATGTCCTTATTAGGCCAAGGCAATAAATTCAGTTGACAGTGATCATTGCCATAATATTTCCGTATTCTTTCCTTATAGTCTGTTATTCCTTATAGTCCTTTTGTTGGTTGTCCTAAAATAAAGTCTGAAAACTATGGTCGCTATTCGTAATTAAAAACTTAGACCACGTTCACGCACGGCCAACTTTCACCGGACAATAGAAAGATGGTGACCACAGGTCTCAAAATTCGAGTCTAAAGATCCATTAAACTGGGCGTTGTTGGAAGAATTGTAATGGCCGTAGAGCATTATATTGTAAGCATGTAAAACCAACTGTAACATTTAAATTCAGGTCGGCCACCTGGCGATGGAGACTCTTCTCTCGCTGACGTCGAAACGCGCTGGAGAGTGGTTCAAAGAAGAGTTGCGGGTACTGGGTGGTGTGGACCACATCGTGCGGACTATCCAGGACTGCGCCGAGCGGCTAGAAGCGCCGGCGGCTACTTGGAGCGCTGCTGATGTTGACGTGTTAAGGAAGGCAGACCGCTGCATGCGTGTGTTGGAGAATGTAAGTGTAAAATAGACTCATGTCTCGTCTTAACGCGCTGGCGAGTGGTTCAAAGAGGAGCTACGAGTACTGGGTGGTGTGGACCACATCGTGCGGACTATCCAGGACTGCGCCGAGCGGCTAGAAGCGCCCGCGGCTACTTGGAGCGCTGCTGACGTTGACGTGTTAAGGAAGGCAGACCGCTGCATGCGTGTGTTGGAGAATGTAAGTGTAAAATAGACTCATGTCTCGTCTTAACGCGCTGGCGAGTGGTTCAAAGAGGAGCTACGAGTACTGGGTGGTGTGGACCACATCGTGCGGACTATCCAGGACTGCGCCGAGCGGCTAGAAGCGCCCGCGGCTACTTGGAGCGCTGCTGACGTCGATGTATTGCGAAAGGCCGACCGCTGCATGCGTGTGTTGGAGAATGTAAGTGTAAAATAGACTAAATGTCTCGTTTTAACACGCTGGCGAATGGTTCAAAGAGGAGTTGCGAGTATTGGGTGGTGTGGACCACATCGTGCGGACTATCCAGGACTGCGCCGAGCGGCTAGAAGCGCCGGCGTCTACTTGGAGCGCTGCTGATGTTGATGTACTGCGAAAGGCCGACCGCTGCATGCGTGTGTTGGAGAATGTAAGTGGACTCATTGTAAAATAGACTATTGCCACGTCTTATTACGCTGGCGAATGGTTCAAAGAAGTATTGAGTGGCGTGGATCACATCTTGCGTACCATTCAGGGCTGCGTCACGCTAGGTTGGCTGTCATCAAGCTGCTCAACTATGAATTGACTATCTGATAACAATTAGGGTTTTCGCGATTGAAAAATCCGCCAGATGGCAATACGTAGACGCGAGGTCCAAATGCTGCATGATTGGTTATTTTTGACATGACATTGACAGATATATCAAAATCCACCAATCACGCAGCATTTGGACTTCGCGTCTACGTATTGCCATCTGGCGGATTTTTCAATCGCGAAAACCCTCATTATCTACGTCGTGCCTGCTATAATGGCAGTTTGGAGTCTGTTTTCCTATCCTACATAACGTAATTTTCTTCACTTTGTTTTCCTTCCTGCAACTTCATTAATTTCCCAGTTATTTTTACCTTTATATTTTACGGTCATACTTTAATCGGTAAAGTAATACAACATTCATTTCATTACAGGTCACTCAACAAAACGAGGACAATCAACTATACCTTGTCAGCGAGTCGCTAGGAGCGCCGCGGACGCTTGCAGCGTTACTGAGGCGCTGTGCCGGCGAAGCGAGACTAGAGAGCGACTTACGCGGTCCGTTATTAGACGCCGCGCTACCCGCTATCAAAGTGCTGGTCAACCTGTCACACTCCTTCGGCAATAATGGTGAGTGTCTGAACTATGTAAATGTCTCGGCGCGTCTTAGACTCTCGCAACGATACTGCGGCGCTGCGCCGGCGAGGCGAGACTAGAAAGTGACTTAAGCGGCCCGTTGTTAGACGCCGCGCTGCCCGCCATCAAGGTGCTGGTCAACTTGTCACACCTTCGGCAATAATGGTGAGTGTTTGAACTATGTCAATGTCCCGGTGAGCAGTGGACCCTGGTAAAGTTATTGTGGCGTTGCGCTGGCGAAGCTCGACTAGAGAGCGACCTACGCGGTTCATTATTGGACGCCGTGCTGACCGCGATCAAGGTGCTGGCCAACCTGTCACACTCCTTCGGCAATAATGGTGAGTGTCTGAACTATATGAATGTCTCGGCGCAGTGTGAACACTCACAGCTTTACTGCGGCGCTGCGCTGGCGAGGCGAGACTAGAGAGCGACCTACGCGGACTTTGTTAGACGCGCCCCTGCCCGCCATCAAGGTGCTGGTCAACCTATCACACTCCTTCGGCAATAATGGTGAGTGTGAGACTGTATTTATTTTAATTTTATTCATCCTGGCATCATCTACGGGAAAATTAGGACATATTCTGCCGGAAGCACAGCGTAGGTCAAATCTAAAGGCCTCTGGTAAGTTAGAGGGTCTTCAGTGAAGCCTAACTAAACCATTGATTATGTTATGAGCCTGTATTCGCTGCTAAATAGATTTAGGAAGCCAATGCACCACATTTTAATCACAAATCGTTACTACATCTAGCTGGAGAGCATTCTACACTATGCATGCTTCTGTCACTGTTCCCATTCAAGAATTCGTTTACGAAGAGGAAACAAAGGGGAAAAATTCCTTCCACTTATTATGTTTTGTAAAACCTGTTACTTTTTTATTTACAGTATCACGAGGCGCTCAAGTAGTGGGTGAACAACCGTCTGTTATGGAGATCTGCTTGATCCTGTTACAAAATCAAGGGAACTTCATACCAGATGACAGAAACTTCGAATTTAGCGTTTGTGTAAGTATAAATTCTTGAAATTTGAGTTATTATTTACATTAAAACGGCCAGAGAAAGATAGCATCCCTATCACATACTTTGACTCCAAGGTTACACTTATCACAGAATACTATACTAACCTCGCTATTTCTTATTTACAGGTACTTCTCCTTCTAATAAACTTGGTGCAAAACAACGAAGTAAATACGCAGCAACTTCTCAACGTACGGATTCGCGTCGACAACGAAGAAGACGTCATCTCGAGGAGTATATCTGCGTTGGACCTTATCGTTGATCTGTTCCACATACGGGAAGACTTGGCCAGGTACAAAAATATTCATTTTGACAGATATTATTATAATGTGTATAAGTTTGTGGAAAATGAAATTATGAATGAAACTTTTTTGCAGGCGAGCTGAAGAAAACACAGACGCTATTTTGGACGGAGAGAAAGACAAAAAGCAATCTCAAGATGATATTGACGAAACTGTGGCTAAACGTAAGTATATCAAAATTATATTCAACGAATTCGAACGAAAAGGAGACCCTATTTGTGCTATTCATTCTCAATAGTAAAACGACATTGTCAGAATGGTATCTAAGTCTTATCCTTCAACTACCTGTGAAGCTTGAAGCTGATGAGGTTGATCGTTTTCGTGAACTGTTTACAAGAGAACTGTACTTCTGTTACCTATTCAGGCAATATGACCTTTTGAACATAACAATATTCTAGCCGCAAGTGGGCAATAATAAAGCAAAGTATCTAAACTCGTGTCCTTTATTTTTCAGTGCTGGCCAGAGCAGGCACTCACATGGAGCATACCATGGTAGGCGCGTACGTGGCGCTCCTACTTGGCCACATGGCCATCGTGGCGCCTGAACTGGCCGAGGCTGTGAAAGCGCGCGTACCGTCCTACGCGCCTCTGCTGCCTACACTGCATAAATACTACACGTTCTTGTCTCTCACCGCCAGTGTAAGTGTCCCTTCCTTGTTCTTAATCGGTCCTCCCATGGAGAATATTATAATGGGCGCTTATGTGGCGCTCCTACTTGGCCACATGGCCATCGTGGCGCCTGAACTGGCCGAGGCTGTGAAAGCGCGCGTACCGTCCTACGCGCCTCTGCTGCCCACGCTGCATAAATACTACACGTTCCTGTCTCTCACCGCCAGTGTAAGTGTCAAAGCATGTCTTTCCTGAACACTATAATCCGGGACTTTTCAAGACAAGTGTTAATAGGCACTTACAGGGCAGATATGTACCATCCTAGACTGCATCTCACTTAACACCAGGTGCGATTGCGGTCAAATACTTGCCTTGTTAAGCATAAAAAAATACCTACCGAAATTACGGCCACGTAACGCTTCTCGTGGCAATGGGCGGGGCTCACAGTTCGCAGAGCTGATGGCCACTGGGGCAGAAACGTTCTCGAGTGGCGACCACGGGCCGGAAGACGTTGTGTGGGCTGGCCACCCACTAGGTGGACCGACGATCTGGTGCTGGATGCAGGCGGCGCAGGACCGATTGTTGGGTCCTGCGCTATATTTCCACTGGAAATCCTTGGGGAAGGCCTTTGTCCAGCAGTGGACGTCATTTGCCTAAAACGAACGAACGCGTCTCACAATGAAGCGCCTTCTGTGGAAAATACATTGAATGCGTTAATATGGATTTAGTTGCTAGAAAGGTTCTGCATTACACCAAAAATTACTACTCATATGACAAGTGTTTCTAAAATCACGCGTAGCTTTCGGCATAATATTTACCACAGATGTTATTGCCAAGAAGCAAGGAGAAAACGGTTTGTTTATTTGTAAGCATCTAAATGCTTTCATACACATCATTGCTCGCTGTATCTATTTTCTCCATTATGATTACATCACATGGTGAAACGACATACAATGATGCAATACCATCACTATGCTTACTGTGAAATTACTTACACACCCTAAAGCCTATAAGTGATGATACATGAGACAATCACACACACAAGCTTTGTGCATATTTTTTAGCAACTTTTGATGAGAGGTTTCATTTTTTTATACTCCAATTTACCTGAAGTCTATAAATAAAGAAATATACATAATTAATTATTTATTACTGGGCCGAAATTCGTTCAACCAGTTGATAGGTAAGTACATCACCTCTCGACACGTGTTTCGTGACGTTAGGTCGACGCCCTGTCTATGAGAGGTCGTCGACCCCCACATGTAGAGTATCACGTGCCCTTTTACGCGGTCTCGCCACTGACTCAATCACTTGATCATTATTTTAGGTAAGCGTCATTAGTGTGAAGTTAGCTACATTCTATGGCCGCGTTCAGTAAGCCTCATTCTTTTTAAAAGAGGTCAACAATAGGTTTGAATAAGATTGGTAAACCTGGAAATAGCTTTTTTATGAAGGGAAAAATCTTGTTTTTAGTCATAGTCATAGTCATATTATGATTATGATTTATGTTATTATTGAGTGGGAATAAATCTCAAGTACATAGTCACAGTCATAAATTATCAAATTGAGTATTATTGATTATAATTATTAATCTAATTTAATTTTTATTAAATATTTTCTCCCAAAAAGTAAGGTCAGCAGATGCAGTTAAATTCTTTACACACATGATATAAGTCACACTTATAAGTTTGCTTTTTCGCAAATAACTTGTAATATATTCACAATAATCTATTAAATACAATGTTTCCATGGAAACCGTCATAGCATGGTTAATGAATTTTAATGAAACAATTACACGACGTTCATTATATTACCTTGTTTATTAATTCTTCCAGGCCGAGGCAGCGATAGTAGCGCACGTGAAAGCAACGCACCGCATCATCCAGTTCATGGAGGCGAGCGACAAGGCCCTCCAGGCGGGCCCCGCCCCCCAGCCCGCCGCCCCCGCGCCCTTCAGCACCTACCCCGCGCGGTACTACGCAGGCTCCTCCCCCTCCGACGTGCCGCAAGACATGTCGCTCAGCAACCTCAACTACAGGTGGGTTGCTACTAAAGCCCGGTCTGTGAGCACGTAGAATTTTGTCCAATGACCCCTAGCTACCCATCCTTATCGCTCGCGCGTAATTATATTGCTGTCGCGACTGTGCGACGGGCGCCCGCAGTGAGTGTGCGAGCCCGATAGCAACATAATTACGCGCGAGCGATAAGGATGAGTAACTTGGGGTCATTGGACAAAATTCTACGTGCTCACAGACCAGACTATAATGGGTTATAGACTATTTGACACCACCAATAGGCCGAGGCAGCTATAATGGCATCATACAGTTCATGGAGGCGAGCGACAAGGCCCTCCAGGCGGGTCGCTCAGTAACCTCAACTACAGGTGGGTTACAAGTGGTGATTGTTTTCTGTGAATCATGGAGGCGAGCGACACGACCCTCGGCCCCGATTTCGCTAAAAATTCTCAACTGCAAGGCTACTGGACGACGAACGAACATCAGCTGTTTTAACTAATACGTATCGCGATGTCGTCTCGTGAACTTTGGTGGGTTCTTTCAGGTGGGTTACGGCTGGCGGGTAATATACTATTTGACACCACCAATAGGCCGAGGCAACTATAATGACATCATCCAGTTTATGGAGGCGAGCGACAAGGCCCTCCAGGCGAGTCGCTCAGCAACCTCAACTACAGGTGGGTTATACTACTAAAGCCCGGTCTGTGAGCACGTAGAATTTTGTCCAATGACCCATAGCTACCCATCCTTATCGCTCGCGCGTAATTATATTGCTGTCGCGACTGTGCGACGGGCGCCCGCAGTGAGTGTGCGAGACCGATAGCAACATAATTACGCGCGAGCGATAAGGATGAGTAGCTTGGGGTCATTGGACAAAATTCTACGTGCTCACAGACCAGACTATAATGGGTTATAGACTATTTGACACCACCAATAGGCCGAGGCAGCTATAACGACATCATCCATTTCATGAAGGCGAGCGACAAGGCCCTCCAGGCGGGTCGCTCAGCAACCTCAACTACAGGTGGGTTACTACTAAAGTCCGGTATGTGAGCACGTAGAATTTTGTCCAATGACCCCTAGCTACCCATCCTTGTCGCTCGCGCGTAATTATATTGCTGTCGCGACTGTGCGACGGGCGCCTGCAGTGAGTGTGCAAGCTCGATAGCAACATAATTACGCGCGAGCGATAAGGATGAGTAGCTTGGGGTCATTGGACAAAATTCTACGTGCCCACAGACCAGACTATAGTGGGTTATAGACTATTTGACACCACCAATAGGCCGAGGCAGCTATAATGACATCATCCAGTTCATTGAGGCGAGCGACAAGGCCCTCCAGGGCCCCGATTGCGCTAAAACATTTCAACTGCAACGCAACTGGACGACAGACGAACTTCAGCTGTTTTAACTAATCCGTATCGCGGTGTCGTGAACTTTGCATCGATACCGAATTGCACATCAGCTGGAATGAAATTGGAGCGTGACTGGAGTGTAGACGAGCGATGAAACGCGATTAACGCGAATGGATTTGGAGACATTACAAATTAGCGCAATTGCCCCCGCCCTTCAGCACCTACCCCGCGCGGTACTACGCAGGCTCCTCCCCCTCCGACGTGCCGCAAGACATGTCGCTCAGCAACCTCAACTACAGTTGGGTTACGACTATTTGACACCACCAATAGGCCGAGGCAGCTATAACGACATCATCCAGTTCATGGAGGCTCAGTAACCTCAACTACAGGTGGGTTAGAAGTGGTGATTGTTTTCTGTGAATCATGGAGGCGAGCGACAAGGCCCTCCAGAGCCCCGATTGCACTAAACATTCTCAACTGCAACGCGACTGAACGACGAACGAACATCAGCTGTTTTGATAAATCCTTATCGCGATGTCGTCTCGTCAACTTTGCCGCGATATCGAATTGCACATGAGCTGGAATAAAATTGGCGCGTAACTGGACTGGAGATGAAACGCAAATGAATTGGAGACATTACAAATTAGCGCAATCGGGGCCCAGGTGTGCCCCGCCCCCCAACCGGCCGCCCCCGCGCCCTTCAGCACCTACCCCGCGCGGTACTACGCAGGCTCCTCCCCCTCCGACGTGCCGCAAGACATGTCGCTCAGCAACCTCAACTACAGGTGGGTTGCTACTAAAGCCCGGTCTGTGAACACGTAGAATTTTGTCCAATGACCCCTAGCTACCCATCCTTATTGCTCACGCGTAATTATGTTGCTGTCGCGACTGAGCGACGGGCGTCCGCAGTGAGTGTGCGAGCCCGATAGCAATATAGTTACGCGCGAGCGATAAGGATGAGTAGCTTGGGGTCATTGGACAAAATTATACGTGCTCACAGATCAGACTATAATGGGTAATAGACTATTTGACACCACCAATAGGCCGAGGCAGCTATAACGACATCATCCAGTTCATGGAGGCGAGCGACAAGGCCCTCCAGGCGGGTCGCTCAGCAACCTCAACTACAGGTAGGTTACAAGTGGTGATTGTTTTCTGTAAATCATGGAGGCGAGCGACAAGGCCCTCCAGGGCCCCGATTGTGCTAAAATATTTCAACTGCAACGCGACTGGCCTACGAATGAACTTCAGCTGTTTTAACTAATCCGTATCGCGGTGTCGTGTCGTGAACTTTGCCGCGATACCGAATTGCACTTCAGCTGGATCAATGTCAATGGAGCGTGACTGTGTAGACTGGAGATGAAACGCGAATGAATTGGAGACATTACAAATTAGCGTAATCGGGGCCCACTCACGCCCTTCAGCACCTACCCCGCGCGGTACTACGCCGGCTCCTCCCCCTCCGACGTGCCGCAAACATGTCGCTCAGCAACCTCAACTACAGGTGGGTTGCTACTAAAGCCCGGTATGTGAGCACGTAGAATTTGGTCCAATGACCCATAGCTACCCATCCTTATCGCTCGCGCGTAATTATATTGCTGTCGCGACTGTGCGACGGGCGCCCGGAGTGAGTGTGCGAGCCCGATAGCAACATAATTACGCGCAAGCGATAAGGATGAGTAGCTTGGAGTCATTGGACAAAATTCTACGTGCTCACAGACCAGACTATAATGGCTTATAGACTATTTGACACCACCAATGGGCCTAGGCAACTATAATGACATCATCCAGTTCATGGAGGCGAGCGACAAGGCACTCTAGGCGGGTCGCTCAGCAACCTCAACTACAGGTAGGTTACAAGTGGTGATTGTTTTCTGTGAATCATGGAGGCGAGCGACAAGGCCCTCCAGAGCCCCGATTGCACTAAAAATTCTCAACTGCAACGCTACTGAACGACGAACGAACATCAGCTGTTTTGATAAATCCTTATCGCGATGTCGTCTCGTGAACTTTGCCGCGATACCGAATTGCACTTCAGCTGGATCAATGTCAATGGAGCGTGACTGTGTAGACTGGAGATGAAACGCGAATGAATTGGAGACATTACAAATTAGCGTAATCGGGGCCCACTAACGCCCTTCAGCACCTACCCCGCGCGGTACTACGCAGGCTCCTCCCCCTCCGACGTGCCGCAGGACATGTCGCTCAGCAACCTCAACTACAGGTGGGTTACTACTAAAGCCCGGTATGTGAGCACGTAGAATTTTGTCCAATGACCCCTAGCTACCCATCCTTATCGCTCGCGCGTAATTATGTTGCTGTCGCGACTGTGCGACGGGCGCCCGCAGTGAGTGTGCGAGCTTGATAGCAACATAATTACGCGCGATAAGGATGAGTAGCTTGGGGTCATTGGACAAAATTCTACGTGCTCACAGACCAGACTATAATGGGTTATAGACTATTTGACACCACCAATAGGCCGAGGCAGCTATAATGACATCATCCAGTTCATGGAGGCGAGCGACAAGGCCCTCCAGGCGGGTCGCTCAGTAACCTCAACTACAGGTGGGTTACTAGTGGCGATTGTTTTCTGTGAATCATGGAGGCGAGCGACAAGGCCCTCCAGACTCCAGAGCCCCGATTGCACTAAACATTCTCAACTGCAACGCGACTGAACGTCGGACGAACATCAGCTGTTTTGACAAATCCGTATCGCGATGTCGTCTCGTGAACTTTGCCGCGATACCGAATTGCACTTCAGCTGGATCAATGTCAATGGAGCGTGACTGTGTAGACTGGAGATGAAACGCGAATGAATTGGAGCCATTACAAATTAGCGCAATCGGCGCTCCGGTTCTGTCTGACGTGACGGCGATGGAATCACGCATCTCTTTTTATCACACAGTGCTACTCATAAAGTTAATATTATACCTAGCGGTTTAAAGCAACAAAGAACTGAGCGAGCGAGATGTCACTAGCAGCAACTCTATGTGATAAAAGAGATGCGTGTTGCCCTGAAGGCCTAAGATTCTCTCCGCGATATAGCGGTTGTCACGCCATTTTATCGATTTTCCCCATACATGTTGACGTCGATAAAAGTTATCACGACGCGCATCGTAGGCCTACTGGTGCCTCGAAAGGATGCGCGATGTCAAAAGCAAAGGGCGTCCACGGAAGACCAGCATTTATCTTAATAAAATAAATGTTGAGCGGGAGGGAGCCTATTGGCACAGTGGCTCAGTAATTGTTTTTTTTTGTTGTGTTGTTGTTTACTGTGTCAATAAAGTTTTTTTTATTTCTTACAGCATGGCCGGCGCCTACGGAACCCCCGACCGACCCTCTATGGAGGTGGACTACCACTGAGACAGGTGGGTCCCGCGGCGCCCCGGCTGACGTTGAGTTCTATTAATTTCACTCCGGGCACCGGCGCGATAGATCATAACCGTAGGCTAAACTAGTTGTACGATAAACAATCACGATTCTGTCGTTCCCGACCACCGAGCGAATGAGACTCCATGTGATAAGACTTGTACATATAAACCGGCGAATCGATCCTTGTATATTATGAACCCGACTAGTAATAGGATACATGCCATTCGAATAGGAATACCGTAACGTAGGTGGTGGATGTATGGTTGCACACGGCCGCCGTAGGGCCACGTCTTTTTGTATCGATATCTCTTCCTTCTCTAAAATTATGGTGTAAATATAATTCGCAGACTGTTAAGAAATAGGTAGTTGTGTTGATCTTGGAAATGGGTTATGAAGTCTTAATTAAATTGAGATATTCCGAGTTTAAGCCACTGAACTGGCAATATAAAAGTGCAAAAATAGTCGTGTAAGTGTATAATAGATATGTATTCTTTTATGTGAATATTGTGTCTGCACTTTTTGTATCATACCGCTCTGAGAGGGTTACGATTTACTAGAGTATTGTTCTAACGAGGCACAATCCTTTATTGTAAATAAATTTTAGCTAGTATCAATAGTTTGGTCTTTGTTGAGTAAATTAGAGATGAGTAGGCATGGATAATTTAATTCGATCGTTTGAGATTCCGTATAAAGCCGCCCGCGCGGGACTAATGTACAAACGGCGCCAGGGCTCCTCGGAGCCGCGGCGTGCGGTAGATAATTACTGAATAGGGAAAATTATGATGTTGGATTTTTAACCGCTAGTTGTTAGAACTAGGCAGCGAACGAAGATAGATAGAATTATTATTCCTTGGTCTAGTGTCTTGTTTCCGAGAGACTTCCGTTCACGACCTGACTGATTGTCCGATAGGATATTTCGAGTTTTATTTTTGATCGTTGGTTAGGTTACTAATTTTTTAAAATTTTATTAATATGCTAAGGCACATGAACTACTTAATCTTGAATTCTGTTTGCACTTTTGATGGTGTTTTCTATATCAACGATGAAATGAAGTTTATGGATAGTGTTATTGTGGATATTAATCGAAAGCTATCAATTTACCTGAGATTTGTTACAAAATATATGACTTTTAATACTTGAGCTGGCTCGATGACAGTCCCACTGAATGTGGAGTGATATTTTAATATTTTGTAACGAAATTGTTTCGCGGTGGACTGGGTTGCTTTCTGTTGTGTCGTGGTGTAACGGGTATTGACAGTTCTTGCGCCTTATTCACATGGAGATTTGATGAGAGTGTTATTATTACGTTATATCAAATTGTGGCTATAGACGTAAAATATAGATAATTTTACTATATTGCATGTACATTGGATTCCAAAACGTTTTTTTACAGAATAATGACATTATTATAAAAACTGATGTCGAAGAAGTTATGTTATAATCGACGCGACCTCAGTGTGGTCTAAGGACATGTACCCATAGATACAGCCCTGCTACACATTTCTAAATCGCATACTCAAGAGAAACCTAGTTACGGTGTTTTCGAATTTACCGATTCCAGAACGTTTACTGTCATTGCTTTCTCCATGAAACCATGTCACAAGATTGTAGCTGGGCTGCAGTTTGTTTCAGACAAGCCAGTGCCAATGGAAGAACGAAATGTCAGAAATGCGAAATCGTCATTTTTGTATGGATTACATCATTTTTTCGCAACTTTGTCCTTCGTTTATGATTAGCACCAGCTTGCTTGAAACCAACTATACCTCGTAATTCCGTTTCACGCGGTGTGACCTAATATCTGGGTTATCACGTAATAAGGTTTCCAAACGGATAAAAGGGCTGAGACACGCAATCGAATGGTTCACCTATGTAGAAAATCACCTATGTGATTGTCTAGTTTGAACTGGATGACGTTCATCACAAATTACGATTGTTAATTCTCATTAGCTTATTTGTTAACGGGTCAACTGCATTGGATGTGTGCCCTAGCCCTTACTGGATAATAGAACTACTGTTAGGAGTTAAATATTCAGTAAATTCGTTATTCTTTAAATGTTAACCCAGATATTAGCATCTTATAACTGCATAAAAAACGATATTTTCAGACAGCTTTACTATTTTTTAAGGGTTTTGTTATTATAATTTCCGATAAGTGTTTGTACGCGGTTGTATCTAAGAATTTATAACGATAATTTGTGGGGTTTTATTTTTTATTTAAAAGACTAGGGACTTTACGTGTTCTTTTGTACAGCTATATTGAACCTTATTGCCTAAATTATATTTACGTAACTTATTGATCTATGTATGTACTATGTGTAGCTCTAAATTGCATTTCGTTATGAAAATTCATCTTTTATATCACATCTGTGTTTTGAATATAATATGTTGTTTTAGACTATCGCCAGAGTTTGATATCTTGAGAAATTATTATTGTATATGTAACGTGTAATTATGTTATAAAGTATTACGTGTAATTATTAAAAGAAGACAATTTAAATAAGTCGGTGTTTCATATTGAACTCCTTTTTACCCTAGGATGTTACAGGTAGAGATGCGGACATTGTGAAATAAAACAAAATGGTAAAATACTAAATAATATATTTGTGATATCTAGATTTAAAATTAATTGCACTACATCACGTCAATAAATAGCAATTGTTTATTCAGAATGTCTAATCGAAAGCTACCGATCCTACAGTACTGTTGAATAGTACACTAACCGCTTTACAAAACCTCGATATGTGAGTGAGCATAAATATTGGTTTTCTATTCGACGTTACTTTTTCATATTAATATAGCGACAAAACAAAGCGCTAACAAGATAACATTGAAGTAACAGAATAATAAATATTTGCAGCTCAACTTATAAACATGTTCATAAAATATAAAACTTGAACGCGTTTTAAAACAACGTTAAAAATTAACAAATAGCTAAGCATGATTCAACAAATTGTAAAAGTATCTAGGAAGTGTTTCATATAGGTTCGACCGCTTCTATGTGAGCCACGGCTGGCGCTCGGATGCCTTGCCACTGGCCGGTCTCGGTGAAATGCTTGTTCACAGTCATCAACTGCTCGAAGTTAGCCTTAGCTAGCTTATGTTTATTGAGGACTTTCTTCACCAACTCCTCATCATACACCTCTTCAGGCGCCTCAAGCTTCAAATGCGCTTTCATCTCTTGGATAGTCACCAAGAAGCAATTCCACGGAGACCAGTCCTCTTCAACACGCCAGCGACACAATCTCAACTCCGTCATGTCGTTGCATTCGCTTATTGCTGAATGGGAATGCCAAAGCTTATCGACGATGAAGTAAATGTCCTTTTCCTGGAGTACAAAAGCCAAGGAGCCCCAACACTTGCGACGCCTCTCATCGCGTTGGACAGCACGAAGAATCAACTTGTACGGAGTCATGTCAACCCATAAGCGCTCTGTGACATCCTTCCACGAGCACGACTTGCATACTAAGAAGCCACTCATCTTAGCGTTCAATGGGAAATCAGTATATGCTTTAACTTGATGACACATCTCGCAGAAGTGCAATCTACTGTTCTCCATTTTCTTGTAATCTCTGATATCTTTGCATTTCGTGACGCCAGAGTTCAATTCTGATGTCTTCAGTAGTTGAAAGACAGTTGCTGCTATACGACGTCTCAGAAACTCAATTTGGTAATTATTACACCGTCTCACGAGGAGATCGCATTCTCTATCTAGAAGACTTATTACTTCTTCAGCGAGCGGATGGCGAAACTCTTGCAGAGCGAATTTCATATCGACCAGGAGCTCCATTCGTTCTTTCACTTCCATGTCTTCACGAATAAAGGAATTGTACAATTCCTTCAACTTCCTCGCTTTTTGTATTTCGACTGTGTCCATAGATATCAATTTGCCGTCTTTTCCAAACCACGCTACCGGCTTTGATATTTCTTCCAAAAACTTTTTCTCCTTAATCTTCTGGCTGTCTTCCTTCACTTTCACTCTGTACGCTTCGATGCAGCGCAGCAGTTCTACTTCTTTATCGAGAAGCAATGTGAATTCCGCTATCTTTGGACCTTTTGAGTGTAGTTGAGAGATCCTTGCTATTTCTGCGTGTTTCCAGCGATCGACCTGTAAGATGAAGAAATTAGAATCATACAGATTGAGTTTTGTTATCATGTAAAGAATCGTGATGTGTGTCGCTTACCATTGAATAAAGTTGATCAAAATCCTGACGCGTCCTAGGAAATGTCTTGGTTATAAGGTCCCTTCGTAACCGTCTTTCTATAGCTTCTCGTTCTAGCCTCTCTTCCTCTTTCATTCTTTCTATTCGTTCCCTGCGAACATTTTTAGACGAATGCGTGAATAGATAGATTCCCAGATGGAGCACACAATCATACAGAATCATCAAAAAGTCACTAAGTAAGTACTTTAAGGGCCTTGACACACTGGCGGATTACAAGCGAAGCGGCGACACGGCGAACACGCGGCGATCTATAGGCGGTATCCGCCAGTGTGGCAGCTCACTAAGCCTGAGTTCACCATTTCATTTAACTTTATCGAAAGTAAAACACCATACAAAAGACACCGGTTATTGTTAAAGTAAGATAGTGCAACTCAACCTATGAATGTCACTTGACTTCGGTAAAGGCTTGGTAAGTAAAGGCTTGAATGACTGAATTTTTTATTAGAAACCGTGTTCCGGAAAGCCGTCGGGCCGATCGACCCACATTTGTCTTTGATGCCTACGATGGCGGCTATTACAACGTCTGTTACAGTTCACACGACACTTAAGTACTACCTAAGAATTATGTAATAAGTTGTTAGCGTCAATCCTTGATTGAGACATGAAGGATGGGATCATTCAGACAGTTTCAGACGCCTTTTCTTTAATTTATTACGTAAAAAATTGCTGTCAAGGTACAATAAAAGTGATTTAATAACCTACCTGCACTCTCGCAGCCATCTGTCCACTTTTTGCCTGAACTGGTGATGTCTGAAAGCCCTTTGAATGACGTTCGCAAAGTGGTTATGATTCAGGCGAATTATCATTTGCTCGTAAGTTTCGTACGGCTGTGGCACAATGATCTTATCGTTCACGTTCGGTATGTAGGCGTGAATCGTGTTCATTTGTGTTGCACGACTGTAGTTGGTATCCTGTGAAACATAATAACGAATTAGTACAGCTTTAGTTAGGCTGGTTACCTCGCCTCGGTATTTGAAGGGATTCTATGGATCTTAACAAACACATCCCTCACTACGCATCCTCGCACATCTCTGGTGGAAACGCAGCCTTATGTGGGTAGGTGGTAATTTCCTGAGACGCGTTTTTATTAATGGGTCGTTTAATAGTTTTAAAACTTACGTAAATCTTTTCTCGTTCTTCGGCTGTTTGAGTGTCTCTACAGTTTTTGTTCTCTGGTGGAAGTTTTTCTGGTTTCTGGGGCGTTTGTGTGTAAGCATGGTGGTATTCGATGCCTGAAACAACAGAAAAAAGGAATTATAGGTAAGTTATAAAATCGTAGCGTGGGCAGGCCTCCCACTAGGTGGACCGACGATCTGGTGAAGGTGGAGGTGCCTGGATGCTAGCGGCGCAGGACCGGTCATTGTGGATCCTTGGGGGAGGCCTTTGTCCAGCAGTGGACGTCTTTCGGCTGAAACGAACGTATGAACGAATAAAATCGTCAATATATGTAGGTAACTTATTTAAAATTGGTAATACCTATAGCATAGTTTTTAAAGATCAGTCAAAATTAAACGCACCGGTATGAACATTTCTGTAGCCGCCCAAATAAGGTTTTTCCATCGGCTCTGAAAAGATTTCTACGTTTATTTGTTTCAGAGTACTGCCGAATGGCACCATAACACTCAAAACATCATGGATAGGCAATTCTTTGTACAATTTATCTAGGTTTAGTTTTTCGTTATTCTTCGTCAGTAACTCCACTTCAACTATGCCATATTTGTCGTAGTCAAGATCCATTAAAGCCATACGGTCTTTGAGCGGGTTTTCTCCTCGGAGTAAGACCAAATTGTCAGGGTCCACTTGAAATAGCCCACCCAAATTCTTCTTTATTTCGTGCACTTTCATAATGGAATGATAAGAGCGTGTGAATATACCGTTCTGATTACGAACCCTAAACTTTATGGCTATGAATGGCATAGTTTTCTTCTTCGGAATGACTGCATGGAGCAGCTCGTGGACGTACGATTCTTTTGGTATCGAGGATAAAGCGAAGTCCTCCGAGTTTTTTGTGAACACATCGATTACCAAGTTCCCGACTGGGTCAGTCTTGAGATCCGAGAGCATGCTTGTTTCTTTGAGCACGGTTCGGTTTTTCGTTAGCAATAGATTGCTGTTTGACACTGAGAGCAATTTGGCCAATTTGCGTTTGACGAATTTGACTGGCGTATTCGCCGGGAAGACTTTGTTGAACACTTGGTTGGGGTGTAGGGGTGACTTGAATGTGACGAGGATATGGCTGACAGGGCACTTGTACTGTTCGGCCTCCCTGGCGCAGGGTGCAGTAGGGTACCTGGACTTGGCATCGTCTCCCTGCGGGGAAGACACCCGCTTGTACGGAGGGGCAGTGAGCAGCTTCTCCCGACCTAGTTCACATTGACACGCAACCACACCTTTGACACACTCTGGGTTTGGGGCTATTCCTACTGTTTTTCGCACTTCCATTTTGTGATAAATAATGGGTTACATAAAATTGTTTTAAGTAAAATAAATAATTCGATTGATTAACAAAAATTGTAGACGTTTGATGTGATGATGACATAAATATATTGTTTATTTTGCTAAGTGACTGTTGTCATGGAAATGGTTTATTGACACAGAGCCGTGACAGAGCTTTGCACCGTTCGGTTGGTTCGGTCCGCAAAAAGCTCGCTTGCTCGTCATGGGTGGCGGAAACACTTTCGTGCCTCCAGTGTGCCTACCATGAGTTTACGTTAGGTGAGCTCGCTAGCGAATACGTCAAAAAATTCTATGAAGATTTTATTTCTTGAAAGTAGCCGCTAGGGGCGCTGCACAATATGTCATACATTTAAATGTCATTTTTTTACGCAGTCGCTAGCGAGCACACCTAACGTAAACTCATGGTAGGCACACAGATTTCAGTACCTCTAGTACGAAAAACTTTCGNTTTGCGGTTCTAATATAAAACTAAAAATGTTTTATTGAATAATCGGATTAAATCGACAGATGAACCACTTCTTGCGAATTTACTATCAACTTACTATTCTGTACCTCTAGTATGAAAAATTAAACAGCGCCCCCTAGGGCGGCTATAATATAGGGGGCGCTGTTTAATTTTTCATACAAAATTTTTCGATGACACTTTGAATACGCAACGAAACGAACTCGAAAGTTTTTCCTACTAGAGGTACAGTACCAAGAAGTGGTTCATCTGTCGATTTAATCCGATTATTCAATAAAACATTTTTAGTTTTATATTAGAAGGGTTTCTATAAAATCTTCACTATCAAAACATCATGTTAACGTTACTGCATAAAAGAAAGCTTGAAATTAAATACAAAAGATTTGTATAAGATTTAAAAATATTTTCAGTAAGAAAAACTACCTAACAGATACCTACTTACTCAACTGCAAGGTGGCTGCGGCAGAAGTGGAGTTTTGTTGTGTTCATAAAGAACAAATTAACCGCTGCGCTTTAAAACTGTAAACTCCTTTGAAAAATGTTCTAAAGGATGTTACGCTTTAGGCGCTTATAAATAGGTAATCCTCTAGAAACGTCTGATGCAATTATTTGCTTTCTTCCCAAGTTTAGAACTCGCACGGAATAGGTACATAACTTCGTTATCTTTGAGGTTCAACTTTATCATGCTTTTAATAAAAATTTTAGCGTTATGATCACTTTATACACAGAAGTAAAAACTTATTGATCCGCCATAACAGAAACCTAAGTAGGTGGTTGATAGTTAATAAAAATTGAGAAAACAATAAAATTACAGCGCAATAAAAGAGCGAATGTGCCGAGCATAGCTAGCGTGATATTAAATTCCACCGAAAACATAAAAATGATTTTCGATCGTAAAAGAATAATTTACAGACGTAAAAATGCGCTGAGTTATCGTTACGCCAAGTCTGAGATGCGGATTTAAGGTATTGGCAGCTATTGTTCGTTCGATGAACGATTTAGCAAATGCACCGAGTAAGGTAAATAAATATTTTTGATAGCAGTTACTGAGCTCTATTGATATAGGGTCGCAACGCCTAAAGATTGACCTAGTTTATAGACTTATTATTATTATAATTTTTTATCCACAACGAGGAAGCTCTTGGCCTTTATCTCACTTGATGGTAAGTGATGATGAGGCCGAAGGTGGAAGCGAGCTTCACCCGGAATCCTCAACCACGGAGGAACTGGCTATCTTACCTCTAACTGCCGGAACACAACAATACTGTTAACATTGTTGTTATGGCGTTGTTGGTTGGTTGTTATTTCAAGCAACTTCCCTATTTGTTAGTAAGTTATGAAAATGAAGCTGTTTTATTTAATGGTTTTAATTAACTTATTTTGAATGATATAACTTTAGTATGCTACGCATGCTTACAGGAGAACACTTGAGAATATAAAATTTCATTTTTGGTAATTTTGACGCCTGTAGGATAGTGAGTGAGAATAATAAAGTTATGGAATTGATCCTTCATTTCGCTCGCTCGAAGTCCACCAATAAAGTCCGAAGTTGACACACGGTATTTATGTTGGTAATGCTACCCGATATGAGCAAGTCTTCAGCGTTAACTGGCCAGCTCGTGTTATTGCGTTTGTCCGTCTGGCGTGCGTCTGTAAACACGTGTTTTAATCAAGCCTGTTGCTTCAGCCCGCCTCTGCGGCCGGCGGCTAAGCAAAGAAAAACTTTGCATGTGTTTTATTACGACGGACGGATGCCCGCGCCCGGCGGGCTTAATTTCGTTGCTGGCTTTAATTGTTTTGTTCTATGACGGTAAACATTTATAAAAACAGCATCCGGAACATGATTGCGATGGCGCAAACATTACTATTGACCGGAAGTGACGTCGCCAGAATAGTCCGGATTAGATTTGAAAGCGGCATTTTCAGTTGGTCCGGCCACGCAAATGAAAATGGAAACAAACAAACGCAGGGAAGAGAAGCGTTGTGGATATTTCGTTCAAAAGGCTACATCGGATCGGAGTTTTTTTTTTGTGAATTTTATAGTGATTGTATTGATAGGCCACATCAAAGAAGTGTCATGGTCATTCTATGATCCAGACGAAATGACGTTGCTTGGTAAGTAAAACAAAAATATAAATCCAAACATATTGAAATAAAATTTTCTTCTAAAGAAATTTCAAATTCATCGTACTTTGAAAAGAAAGCATTATTAAGTGGGATGTAGAATAGTAGGGTAGTTCACAATTTTACACGTGGCTCCACCGCAGCGGTCCGAAACGCGCGCATCCACGGGTACGCGATAATCGAGGTGAACAATTTTATAGCCGCTGCAGCTGCTAGGGCTGCCACATAGAATAAAACCGTTTGAGAATTCAGATTCCGCATGTGATTTAACGCCATTGAAATTGAGTTAGAATTTTGAACTGTCTGATAGTTTTTAACGTAGCTTCCATGTTGGATACATTTCACGGTTTTGGAATTTGATACAGTGTATGTACCTCGCAAGTTGCAAATGACCAGGACAGTGAGTAAATTACCAAAAAAGTTTTACTTGATGGTGGCTCAAGAGTGTGAAGTGCGACTACGACGGAAAAAAATTGGTAAGTAATTTGCATTGATTATTACATTTTACTCATGCATATTTATCTACACATACACATTTTTATTTACTGTATTTGACAACATAGAACTGCAGTCCAGAGGTTAATGAAACGGCCTAGTCACATCACAATTTTAAACTTCCGCAACCTCCTCCAAAAACCTAATCGCAGCACGTTTTTAACAAAATTATTTTACCTACTAACCAAAAGCCTTCGTGCGTTATTAACTCCATATTATGCAATCAAAATTCCGAGTGGGCCCGCTCATAGCCCTACATTAGCAGGCCAGCTGGGTGAAGGGGCCAGCTCATTCGATTAAAGCCGGTATACACGGAATTATCAAACGGACGCACCGACAACTCAGCCGCCCGAAAGCGTCTACATTAATAGTTTTGTTTCCCCAACTCGCACCGTTTCGTCGCAGAAAGGTAAAGTTCCGTTTCACGTTTTTTCTTTGTCGAGGCGATTTGTTTGGAACACCTCTCTCATTTGGAAACAATTTTGGACGGCGAAATTGTTAACGCGTTTGACGACTGCAGTTGGGAAATTGTTTCTTTCGGCTATTATCTCATGCTAATAAGCGTAAGGGACAATTTGTCAATAATTTCCTAATATTTTTAAATAGACGTTCAAGAAATGACATTAAATTAAACATAAAATTATTTTTGAAGCAATAGAGACGACAAACAACGTGCATATCGCTAACGTAATTACCTAATTTAAGGGTTAAGAGTAGGCACCATAGGCACTTTGCTTCCAAAACACTAAGTTTAAATCTATAAATCTTTTGCGTTCTTTTTGTTTTGCTGATCGATATGCAGGCATCAAAACAGGATTATTTATAATAATACACAGCAGTATAAACGGCATAACTATTCTGGTTTTCATTAAACTGTCTGTTGCGTGAATTAGTAACGAGTCGAGAACCACAAAGGAATCGCACGAATCATGGCACCTGCCTGGAACTGATCCGTGTGTATCGGTATCTGTTACATTTCTAGTTCCATTAGAGAATTGGTTTAAGGCACAGTTAAATTACCTACTAGACGTAAAAGTAGGATAAGTACTTACATATTTAATGTATTTTTGCCACACTTTGGCAAATGTAATAAAGCTAACAATGAAAAATTTTATGCATAACTTCATATTTCATCGTGCTATCGGCTTAAGCATCAACAAATTGACCAGTATTTCTACGTCAAAATTAATTGCAATCTACTTAGTTTAATAATGACCATGTCATCAGTCAGACATCATAATATGTTTCAATAACCTAATGACAATATTACAAATCACTATTTGAAGTTGAGCCGAGCGTAAATCCAAATTCAGTTATTTCAGTATTTGTTCAGATTTTCCAATACCTACGTCGTGTTAATTTGTTTGAGTAAATTTTACCGCGTCCGCAAACGATTCGATTAAAATTTAGCTCTCTATTCTGCTGGACAACATACACACCTGTTATGGTGCTACCACACTGCGTCTAAAACTTTTGACAATGGTACTGGAATAATTTCACGGACTTTTCCGAAGTGGATTTGATTTTACCATATTTTACCTACGTAATTCATTCGGGAACAATAAAGTTCAAATGTAGAAAAGGTTCTTTGTAGTAAGTTCACTACATTAATTTAAAAATTACAGCCCAGTTTAAAATTGAATTGAATAATATCCTTAACATAATCATTATAAGTGTCCATTTCAATAGATGTTTCATATATTTTTGAAATATTTCTAGATTATAATCAACTGACCCGTTTCACGATGCAACTTTGACCAGTCTCGTAGCTCTCAATGAAGACAAAAAATACAACTCTCTGTCTCAAATTATATTGTAACATAAGATGTATGGAGATTGGTTAAAAATAGCCCATCAAAATCGTTATAGTAATAAAATCCAGACTGACTAGTCCATAACGCACTGTGCATTAACGAGTAGCGGTCGTAGTAACTTTGTTTGTCGCCAATACACCGAAAATATGATTG